TCGAACGCTAAGCTTAGATCGACTTGGAAGATGTTGCCGGATTCATGATCGCAATTTCAGATTTTACTGCACCTTTTACTGATAAAGGTCTATTTACACGTATCCGTATCACGTCAGTTCAACGGTAACGTTCAATCAGTGTCGGTGATTTTAAACATTCTTCCGTTGTTTCCGAATGGGCATGTTCGCACACGTCCTCCGTGACGTTATTGATACGGCACGGATACGGAACTGACACGCTACGGATACGTGTAAATAGACCTTGATACGTTATAAACGAATTCATAAGCAATCACCGCGATTATTTCAAATGTTTCGAAAACCAACAAGGTTAATTTCTTAATAATATAGTATCCGCGCCTCCCGTACCCAACACTAAGGAATCAAAACGAGAACACGGTCGACCGTGAATCAGAGGATCGTAGGTTCGAATCCACGTGCCTTACTTTTCGTTTAGACTCCCGCGATAATGCATAACGAACGAATTATTTGTTAAAATAATTTCGTACGTGATCATCGAGTCCTTCGCGAATCTACGGAGCATGGATGATTGTAAACAAACGAGGTTAGCTACTTAATAACACGTTACAAAGAAATTGTTCGCGCCCAACTCGGATCACGAGGGCGTCTCTGCAGCCTCGTCGAGTGAATCACGAGCGAGATTAGTAAGCGAGCGCGTTACCTGGAACAACAATGATCCCGTAAGACGATGGTACACCTTCCGAGGTAATCGTTACAATTATCTTTTCACCTGGCTTTAGAAATCGCGCGTTGCCGATCGGCTGGCCTTGACCGTATTCCTAGTTCGTTGGAAACAATATATATTTATGTAATTCCGCGTAATACGGGGGATTCGCGTAATTAAGACGCAGAAGGCGGCGATCGAGAACGCGTCTACCGCGTGTCGGAAGAGAAAGGTTTTCACTCTGATAAAACGACCGCACCTCGTGTATATGGGGACTGGCACGTTTACTTTATAGCGGACCCAACGTACTCACGGGTACGACAAAAACGGGACCGGCTTGACAATACGATGAATAATTGATTCACAGTTTTCGCTCAATCGCGGATCATGTCACGATAAGGGAGCATAATTTAATTACTAACGGACAACCGGCGCCGGAACATGGTCCGTGCCAGCGCAAAACAAGAAAACCGCTTTCACCCATCGATGGGATTTTTATTCGAGGAAGCGTACCCTTCCTCTTCGGTTTGATTAATCATTGGCGAGCTTTCTTTTTTACGGGACGACGTTCTTCGTCGCGAACGAAAACACCGAGACGAATTCTTCGAGGAGGTAAGAACTGGGCCAATCCCGAAGTAACCCTACGAACGATGACCGCCATTTTCAGCATATACTAAAATTAATTTTGTACAATCATTTTTTTGTATTATAACCCACGATACCAAATAATTTTGGCCTCGTGCATTTTTCCCTATCATCGATAGCAGCCAAGTTATTCAAGTGGCTGGTTTTAGGCGCCTCACCCTGTATATACCAAATACGGAGAAAATGCATGTGGTTTATTGTAATTTTCAAATTATGACACGTCACAATAATTAATTATTAGCATACTTCTCGTCCATATCCTTCGTACATATTTGCGTGTCTTTCGTGCACAAACATTCGAAGTCTGTTCGATCGAACGTAACGGTACAAAATTAATTTCTACACCTGATAATTATCTCGATGCATTGTCTCAGCAAACAACGCGCGAGAAATTCGAATAAACGAAATCTTTAATTCATAAAAATCTTTAATTCATCGAAATCTTTAATTCGTCAAAATGTTCAATTAAATTAAAGATCATTCCAAATACCAATTTTCGTAAGTAACGAATCGTCGAAAATTTCAAATCGTAATCTCTCGATTAAAACATCGCGAGCATTGTTCGAGCAAGTAAATCGCGTTCATGCGATTTACTTTTCAGCCAGGAGTAAGTACTTGACACAATAACGTGACGGAAATCGCCATGTCGGCTGTAAAACACGTCGTGCTTTACGCCTGTTAAATCAGCCCACGGCCACGCTGCTTTTTTGCCTCTCTGGTGCTGTTCGCGACGTTTCAGAAAAACGCGGGAAAACGTGCTACCGGCGACGCTGTTTTATCGTCCAGGAAATCCGACGGCCAAGAACGACCAAGGTAATATTAACGATATTCGCGTTAAAGTGCCAGTTAAAATATCCCTGCCATAATATCGAGAACGAAGTACGAACTAATTCTAAAAAAAGTTAGCCGTCTGATTTTTAAATAGTTCAAGTTATACGTTAGGTTGAGTCGACTCCTTTTTCAAGAAATTAATATCAATCTCATATGCACTTGGCGGTCTTAATATGGCTCAGACCTTTTTATTGTCCGATAATATTTATTTGAAAAACAACAATTTTGCGGTTCGAATATTCCTGTTTCGTTAAACTTTTGTCGAGTCTCGGTCAACGTGGAACCACATAAGTATACATATTAAGTACACATATTAACAATTCTACGTGCTCGTACGAGAATAGAAAATTATCGAACAAAAATTGTAAGATTCTTAATTGAACAATTATGATATGTTTTTGTATATTTTTATGTGTTATTACTAGCCATAAAAGTGCAACAAGAAATAAGGAATACAAAAAAGTATCATCATCGATTAAATAAATAAATAAATTAAATAAATAAATAAATAAATAAATAAAAAAGGCTTTAAACCCAAAAATAAAATTACATTTAAAAAAAAAAAGAATGAGGCCCACTGTTCTACAGTCTGGAAAGGTTTGAATCGATCTCGAAAGAGTATAATTGAAAACGCTACTAAAAGTTGGTAAACCTTGGACCAAAGGAAATCACAGCGAGCAATAAGTTGAAATCGATGCGCGCCTCTAATATCTGTCGTGCACGGCTGGAAAAAAAAAGAAACACGCGTTTAATAACCGTGACGAACAATATAACCGTATTCGACTTTTCCGCACGACAGCAGACCCCGTGGAAACCACCGGCGAGCGGAAATATATTTTCGTCGTGGTCGTTTCTCGGACGATCATTTCGTATCCGTTTACGCTTACGCAATTCGGCGGAGAACGCTCGACGAAACGATCGTTCACGTCGGAAATTGATTTTCCAACGAACGCGTGAAAAAGAATTCGTTCCCGAAGTACATTAACCCTTTGAGAGCTGTGAACTCGTATATCAGCTTGAGATACAATCAAGGTAAATGACCCCAGTGGAGATACAATAAAAGGCGTTGGATTGACCTTTGGATGACCTCGGCTCTAAAATTGCGATAATTCGAGGAAATAGAAAAATTAAAATTTATTTATCGCCACAACAATGTATGCAAAAAATTCTGCGAAATAATACGGGCAATAGAATATAAGAAGATGAGGAAAACGAGGTTCTCTATTTGTTAATAAATGCGCATTAAACGCGAGCGTACACGTGCGACGTGCATTCGTCGTTTTGTGTGACACAGAACAAAATAAAAATGGTTATGGATAAATGAAAATTTTCTAGAAAGCCAAATCCTAACTAACAATCATACGAATGGCTCGCCACGTTGTTTCGGTTACTTACAAGGGCATGTAAGCATAAAGTAATTTTTTTTAATCGCTGGAGCTATTTTTAACGCAAAGGTAACGCTTCTCGTCGCCATTACCTACGATCGCAATTCTTTCCGTGACTCGACGATTCGATCATTAAATCGTTAATTGCGGAACGTAACCGCGATCAAACTTTCCCGTCGCGGAAGGTACTTTTTTTCCACCGCGCGATTTACCTCGTGACTAATATCTGCGGACTTTTTTCGTTGCCACAGGTTAACGGTACTCCGCCAATTTCTTAACCCCTTCTGCCCCGAAGTAATCATTTCACTAAGATAAAACACTAATTTACCATAAATATTGATACCGTTCGGTTACGAAACACACAAAAAAAGGGCAAAAGTGGAAAGTGGAAAAGTAGAAAAGTGTAAAAGTGTAAAAGTGCAAAAGTGCAAAAGTGCAAAAGTGAGGTTAGATTAGAAATTTTACCTCACCTCGTCTCGTCTCGTCTCGTGCGCATCACTACTCTAAATATTTTGATACACTTGTCGTTCAATTTTTGGAACGTACATTCTCGAAAAACAGACACGAATTCCATGCGTAATAAATTGGTCAGAATTCTCGCGAAGAAGTTAACAACACGTACGGGAGCCAACTCGAGCGTGCACCTATGCACGCTTCGTTTCGCTGAAATAATAACGAACATCTTCGAGCCCCGACACGCCGTCACGGCGTAACCAAGAATTCCCGTGCTCCCTTTTCCTCGTTATTTGACCAAAAATTATAAAAATATTTCGCATACCTATTCTTAAATAAAAAGGTGAAGTAATATTCGCAAGTATGACACAAGTGTTACGGAGTTAATTGTATAAAATTTCCATAAAATTGGAATATGTTTTTTTTTGTGAAAAACATCTGGATTTCGTAACACATTTGTTGAAGGGCACGTTGTTACAGAAAATAACGATAATTGACAAATCAAAGTGTGTTTCACGTTGTGAATGGAATAATGTTAATTCCTAAATTATATGCACGTGCATATTATGTATGTCGAGCTCGTTGTATAATTTGTACAAATTATATATATTTGACAATCCTTTATTCGTGGTTTCTTATGCGAGTAAAGTTTCTAGCGTTTTTCTTTAGAATTTCTATATTTATTTTCTTTGTCATGCAAGTAACCATGTTCCCTAAGTAATCGATGACTGTTAAAGTTTGAGTCACCTTTAGACGGTACAGGATCGTCAAAAAGTCTACTATTTTATCGACATGAGAAAAATACTGACACTGACATACCATTTGTTGGTACAATGTTATACATTGTACCTTCTCATGGTACACGATCCTACTTTACCGATTACAGGTATAGAAACCCAAATTAACCTACAAATACCTATATTACCTGTAAGTGAGAAAAGTTATTTCGATACAATAGACCTATTTCTTTTACCAATTAAAACACCGTAGTTACCGACCAAATACTTGTAATGTCTGTAAGTGAGAAAAATTATTTAAATGGCATCGATGCTATTCAATTTTTTAAATGAGCTAGTACTACATAAACTGTGTAACATTTTTACGAATCAAAGACTTGATTAACACGCATCGTTATCCATGCGTTTGCATATTCATTTATGTGTCAAGGAAATGTAAACTTCACAAATATTTACTGAATAATATGTAACGTCTTCCTTATGCTAAAACTATGAATGTGAAAACTTTCGTTTAGATAATGACAAAACCTCAAATTCCAAAATTGATCGAATACCACTGTTTGTGATTCTGGCATAAGGGATAACCCGGATAACAGAAAAAAAATTGGACAAAATGGCAGTTTCGTACAGAAAAAAAATATTACCATTATATACGTCTGTAAATACGAGACAATGTTGAGTGAATATTAATGTAGAAAGTGTCTGGAGCTGTACAATCAAGAAGGCGTCACAAGACGCTTCTCGATCATTCAAGTTAAATACAATTAACGCAACAATAAAAGGAGCAGATAAGAAAGGCGAAAAAATGTCGAACCAGTCGTACAGTATTGTCAAATATTCCTCCGAACAGAAAAGAGACAGATGTGGTTATTGCAAAAGTCCTGATACAAACTTTAGTTATGGTAAATACGAATATTATAATTTTAATGTAATTTTACTATACGTCAATATATATGTTTAGAATTATTATTGTTGAACGTACATTGATAGGTTATGTAGCAATAACGGTTCATATCTAATACAATATACCGAATATTAGCATTATTTAATTATTGTCTTTCTGTATTCTAAGTTTGCTATATTTTAGGTATGTGGGCAGAAACTCTGACTGTACAAGACTATCAAGCTTTAATAGATAGAGGTTGGAGAAGAAGCGGTCATTATTGTTACAAACCCCATATGGATCAAACTTGTTGTCCTGCCTACACTATCAGGTTAGTAAAATTTTATGTAATATCAGAGATATAGTAGTATTAAATATAGCTATCTCTCACTATTAAATATTTACCATAGATGTGAAGCACTTAAGTTCAACATTTCTAAATCCCAAAAAAAGATCTTGAAAAGAATGGGAAAATTTTTAAGAAACGAACTACAGAATGACGATATTATGGACACAAGTGAAGATCACAGAGATGTCAGAGGTAAAAGTACAATATTAATTTGTGTACTTTTAACGTTTTTAAAACTATTTTATTGTAGACATTGGAGAATTCCCTATTTATAATAAACATCTTCAAGAAACTGAAGAGAATGCTTCTGAAATGAATGTAAAGTCGGTTAGCGACAAAGTTAATTTAAGATTACAGCCCAATGTACTAGATAAAGAAAAAACGAACAATCTAGAAAATCAACAAAAGCAGTCAGAAAGTGTACCTTGTGCGTCAAATCATAATGAAGATTTACATGTTGCATCTCAAAGTGTAAAATCGATAGAAATGAATTCTAGTAGAGGACCCTGTAAGAAAGCTAAACTTTTACGCATTGAACGTAAACAAAAAAAGTTATTAGCCCAAGGAAAAACTCCGAATGAAATAGAGGCTATTTTTAAAGAACGCAAACAACAAAATCATGCTAAAAGTATAGAGGAATTGTTCAGTGATATGTATGGTGAAACAAATAGATTGAAGGTAGGATATTTTATTTGTTTCATCTAATACTTTGCTAAGTTTTGCATACATCATAAGTTGGTCCTCTTTTCTCCAAGTTGTCTGATATTTAAAAGAATATTTTTGAGTAGTGGCAAAGAAGTAAATAGAAGGACGATACTGTTGTCTCCTTATACTTCTATTTCTGACAGTAGTATAACGTTTACAACATTCTACCTTGTTTCTCCAATTCAGTTAAAGTATTTCATTAAGAAGATAGTTTGATTTGGTTATTTTTTGGATAAGTTTATACTCAATTTATGACTTTTATAAGCTGAAACTAGTTAGAACCTCGCCAATGAGCTCTGGATACCAAAAGACTTCAAAAATATCTTATATGGTATATAAAAAGTTTGAAACAATAATACTTGGAGAACCAACAGCGAAGGTTACAGAGGAACGGTACACGAGATTTCTTGTGAGATCGCCTTTACAGGTAATTTTACAATTACTAAGGTTTCTTTTTTGTCAATTAACTTTTTAAAAATTTGACATGTTAAATAGAAACTGAACTTTTCTTACTGTTTCCCTGTAATACATATCATACATAATTATAATGGGAAAATGTTAATTTATTTGTAATGTACACATTTATACTAGAGCGCTTAGCAGCAGCAAATGATATTCACGGTAGTATATGATTGGAGCAAAGTGGACCCTTTTATAGTGTATGTTTTACTTTTGTTGGTTGAATATTTTGTAACATTTTTGTGCATTTATGGGTTTGTTGTTGCATAGAAATTGTCTCAAGTATTGTGAATTTACTTTTATGAATGTCTTTATAAATTCATCAGATGAAATTGGTGAAAGTAATGACTGACGAATTTACTGATACTTTCGATGCGAGTGCAAAACTTTATCAAAAATATCAAATGGCCATCCACGGAGAATCGTCGGAGGAATGCGATGAAATGTCATTCGTCAACTTTCTCGTAAAAAATTCGTTACAGGTACACTTTGTATTCAATCTGATCTCTAGTCTATTTGTACAATATAAATAAATATCATTTTAATATTAGGTAATTTCAACGTTATGTATGATACTGTAATCTTTTCACTTAGAATACTTCATTTTTTTTCTGTAAAAAAATGGTCATTATGTATTCCCAAAAAAATGCAGAATTAAGGTGTTTGTAATTTTAAAGCAATGGAAACCGAACGATGGCCCCCCCTGCGGATACGGTTCTTTCCATGAACAATATTGGTTAGACAATGAACTGATAGCAGTTGGAGTGATAGATATTTTACCATCTTGTGTCTCGAGCGTTTACTTCTTTTACGATCCAGCATACTCTCATCTTTCTCTTGGAACATTTAGGTTGTTATTACTGTCATTATTTAATTTTAAGTTATTTTTAACGCCACCTATATTTGGTATCATTAAATCTCATGTAGTTCCTTACGAGAAGTTTGCTTAACGAGAGAATTAAATCGAGCATCAGAGAATCTGAAATATTACTATATGGGATTTTATATCCACACGTGCCCCAAGATGCGATATAAAGCACGAATGAAGCCATCAAAGCTGTTGTGTCCTGAAACTTACGCATGGTTTGATATAGAACCTTGTCTCAAAAAATTGGACAAAGAAAAGTACAGCAGACTGAACGATGATATTGATGCTATCGACGAAAATGGCATAGTTAATGTTAACAAGGTATTGAACAAAGTTTGCTTATACATATCTTACTACAAAAGTCCATGTATGCTATTTTATCTAACAAATTAACCTTCGTTAGGTTTACATATTACATGGCCAGATTGCAATGACATACAAAATTTATAAGGCGCGAACTCAACATATTATCACAAAAGAAGACGAAGACATTATTGAAGAATATGCTCGTTTGGTTGGAATGAAATTGGCGCGAAGTTTGCTGTTTTATCGCCGTTAGAACTAAGTCTGCAAACAGTTACAATTAATATATTTCTTTTTTGTAATGAGAAATAATTCATTATTTTACTGATAGACAATCCATTAAAAACTAGTTGTAAGATGAAACTAATATTTAGCAAACAAAATTACAATTAGTAGCTTCGAATAAAGTATTCGCAATGATAAGTGTACGGTAAGTTAATGAAATAAACAAAAATGAGTTATACCAAAGTATGGTATATGTAATCTGCAGTGTTTACCTTTTTTCCAATGGTATACGTTAGTTATACTCTAGATACATGAAGAGACTTTTAAACGACAGAAACAGAGCGTTACCTATCATCGTAAAATAATAGTGTAATGTACCGGATGAATCAGTAGACTCCTTAATAAGGAGGTATTAAAAGTGTAATTTCCGGTTTTAAAAAAACGCGTGATGTAATACAGTTCTGACATTCTTATGTAACGCCATACTGGATTATTTGAAAATAAATATTTCAATGTACAAAAACTATTCTAATGTTTCATGCAAATATTTTTATTCTCTTTAGTCGCATGCTTCGTCAGATTATTTTCATATGTGATAACGTTTAAGGAAAATAAGTATTCAGTCCAACATTTTGTTTTAAATGTATTTATTCGATAACGAAACATTCAAGTATCACACAGTTATTTGTATAACAATCTAAATCACGCAGAAAATAAAGAGTTCTATTTGGTATACAAAGTTTGTCATATAAAATGCCATGAACAATATCTTGTACTATGAATTCACATACTCTCTTACGAGAAACGTATGCTACAATGCATGTGCGTTCAGTAGGTTTGTAAAATACATATATATACAACGTATCCCATCGTCGAGACACCGTGTTGTATTCGTCAACGGTTCACTAAAATATTCCAGTAACGCGCAACGACGCATTCATTTCCGAGTAAAAGTTCATACTATTAAGTCACAATTCCATCGGTCTGATGTTTCTATCGATCACCAAATCCACTTCCCAACATTGTACAACGTAATATAGGTAAAACGTTCGCAATCGTTTCTTTTAAAAGTTAATTTCCTTCCCTGTTATCGTCGGCGCGAATTTCGTTCCACTTTTGTATGTTTCCGCTGCCGCCTAATGCGAAGACAATCATACAAACTATACAGACGGCTGCACCGATCCAAAATAGTATTTGCCATTTCTCTATAGGGTTCTAAAATGGAAATCCAAACAATCACGTTGTTATTGATTAAAATAATTGATCGTTAACCCATCAAATACCAAAGTATTTTCTTTTATGTTTATCTTTTTGCATGTTGCATTTAAAAATACTTCGCTAACCATAGACAATGTATCTAATAATCAAATTATGGACAATAACACTTAGGAGTTTACTAGAAAATTGATGAAATTGTTCTTGATTTACTATAGGGTGGAATATTCCAAATCTTTTCGTGAATATTCTAAGAAAATAGAACAATGGTACTTCACGGGCTAAACGATGTTCATATTGCATTATTGCGCGCCAGAGATATACAGAATTCGATTTGAATAATAAAAGACGTATAAAAACATCGTTATAATTCTATTAATTATTCGGAATTTTATATCTAGGTAAGAATTCTGCCCAAATTCTGTAAAACTCTTTTAGCAAAAGCAAGATTTTTATTGTTTCCAATCGGGTATATTATGCAATACAGGGTTAATACCGGTGTTGCCAACCGGCCGGTTTTCGTCTGGCCAGACCGCTTTTTTCCCTTCACTTGCCGTTTGAATTTCGCAAAAGTCCGGTTTTCATTTGAAAAATGCGAGAAATAATATAAAAATATTAGGCTGTTAAAATGCAAATACAACTATGATTCGATATTCATTCGTGAATTTGATTTCCTGACGTTGATAAATCTTATACTGCCAGGGAATACTTTGTGTGTCGACTCATTCATGTGTATTCCAAAATATTTTAATGAAAACATGAATACAGATAACGAATATAAGATACAAGGATACACAAGTTTTATTTCTTCATCTGAATTAATCCCGGCAAAACGGTGGCAACACTGACTAATTCTTACAACAACTATGTGTACGAACCTTTAGTCAAAAATACAAACTTAATGTAATTGTAAATAGCATATAATAGCATATAAGCGTAAGCGATGGTAAGCGATGTTAGCGAAGCGTTAATTCTGCATGAATCGAGAACACATATACCAGCTCATACCAGTACCATCATGTACCACGTGCTGTTAAGATGACAGTGGCGGATTTGTTGGACGATAGGTGTGCATGGATCGGTGAGAGCAAGTGGATTAGTGATGATGCGACTTGTAGGTACTTCTCGTACTATAAAACTTGGACGATATAGAGACGAGTAGTGCCCACGAGTCGACAACACCACGCGAGTCTGAATAAGCATGAGTGCAGATGGTCTTAGGCGAGATCTTCACCTACCAGTTGCCCGTGTTTGTTATTGATATTACGATTAGCACTTAATCTATCCAGAATTACAAGTACACGTTATTTCTAAAGAAAATCTCCGGTGAAAACAGCGATACATTAGGAACAAACGCATGGAAAGGGTATGAATGACTTTAGATGCACCGCATACACAATTCCCCAGTACTGCCCGTACTATGAGTTATGCAACAGAGTACAAGGTTGCACTGAGGTCTCGAGTATGCCAAGAACATTGCGCTGCAACAAGCGGTAACAGGACACCTGGCATCGCGTCAACAAGCGTAACACAAAAAAATGATGTAATTAGAATTTCCAGAACAATCATCGATACAAACTTATTTCGTCGACGTCTCGATCTCAGTTTCAATCCTCGTCGAGATGTTATTTGAGGTTATGTAACCGGCATCGATATGATCAACTCGCAATCAGACTAACTGATCATAGAGAATTCAGTAAGAATATCACAGAAGTTTTACTATTATAGCGGTACATATGTTGTTTAAAAACTATATATGTATTTGCAGAAAAAAAAGAATAAAACAATTTGGAATGACATTGTTTATCTATGAATTTTCTGGAAATTATGATGATGTAATTTGTTTTCAAGTATCAAGTATACAATATGTAACATTTAACCAATATTAGTGAAAGAGTTATGTAAATCATGCGAATAAAAAATGGAGAAGCAATAAGCAGATAAAGAGCAATCTGTAGAGTGTGTACTTACCCCATACTTTCCAGCAATCTCCTCTACTAGTGGAGAAATGATTATGCCAGATGTACAGCCAATAGTGTTCATGATTCCATACAGAAAGCCAGCAAAGTTTGGTGACAAGTCCTGATTGTTGGATAAGTTTGAGATGGCAGCTGCTCCATTAAAGCCAAGTGCTAACACCAGAAACACATTCGCCAGGACAAATCTGCAGCCCACGTAACCAACCAGGATGAGGAAAATACCAGGTATTAGATGAGCTAGAAACAACAACAAACAGCCATCAATCACTTGTTAGCAGTGTTGGACAAAATGTATTTAATTTAAATATTATTACATTCTACACAATTTAGACAAAACATTTGATTGTAATTGATTGCAAAGATATTCTTAAAATCAGGAACTGAAATAAAAATACTCACAGAAAATAGTGGCTCCCTTGCGAAGCAAAGTGATAGAGATTATCCCCTTTCGCTTAATTGTATCCCCAGCCCAGCTGAAGAAGAATCCGAACAACATCCTCCCAGCCCAAGGTAGACTGGCAACTGCACCTCCCTTGGTTAGACGGAAACCCAAAGCTTTTGTCAGATAGAGCATCATCGAGTTCTGGTAGAAAAACAGAAGGAACAAGTTGCCAAAATGGCAAAAAATCAGACTGATGAATGGCACAGAAGTAAATATCTCTTTAATGGGAGTCTGTTTCAACGATGGTTTTTGAGCCCTCACTGTACCCGCTTGCGAGCTGAAACAAGTTAAAAGTATGAGCACTTAGTAATACCTAGTGATTTGCAAAAACGTAGACATTTGGAAGAACGGCAAGCGACTCGACGCTGAATTCAAAGTCGAAATTGATCACAATTTCATCTAAAAATCTGCTTAGCCGTCTAATCTCATACACTGAGACAGTACAAGACTCAGTATAGAGTAGTGAAAAGCACTATCCACAATCGAAAAGTGGTCAAACAAACATGGTCCCTTCCAAATACCTAGCCAATGCCTTTTCGGTAAAATGACCGAAGTTTCCTTCACGATTTCAATCGTACTCACTCAAGTATGTATTTCTTCTCCTCCTCCGAGATGCCAGGATGCTCTGACGGCGAGTCGTATGCCAATATCGCCCAGAAACATATCCAAACGATCATCAACAACGAGGGGATATACCATGCGTTCTCCCAGCTCATTGATTCCGCGATGCCTGCAACCATAGGGTAAGTGAGGATGGTCCCGAAGGTGCCACCGAGCAATGACCAAACGAATCGCGCCTTTTCGTCAGGTGGAGACCATTGCGCGACCAGGGTATGACACGCTGGAAACGTCACACCACCGGTAACGCCTATCACGATTCTTGTGAAGAGCAGCACGCCCCAGTGGAGTTGTGCGAAAATCGGGCTGAGCAGGGACACTATGGCGGCCACCACGGACGTCCAGAGGATCGCCTTCTTGGGCCCCCATCGCAGAGCCAAGATGCCTCCAAGGAAATTTCCAGGAACGTTCCCGTAGCTGTACGCGGCGATCAGCTGTCCTCGGACCTCCGGTTTCCAATCGAAAGGCCGACCGTCGACGAGCTTTATCGGAGAGTCTGGTGGACGTGCATCGCGTTGCGCATCACGCCGGAAACGACCGTTCGCCAACTCCTGAATCTCGGCATCGTAAGCGGCTTGGTCCTTCTCCTTCAGGATTTGGTCTTCCAAATACGCGCCTGGGTCCAACCAGGATATGGCGCGACGCACGCGGGACTGATCCTCATCCGTGCTGCAGGCGCCTCCCGTTGCGTTTCCCGCCACCGCTTTGATCATCGGCACCGCCAGGATCGGCATTTGCAGCCGACACATATAACTCGTCCAGCAGGCCGTGAACATCATCAGAGCGATCAGGACGCGGGCCGGAATCCATCCTGTGAAAAAAGCATCACGGACTACTGTTTCAAAGAACTGAGATAATCGGATCCTCTGATAGTAGAATAAATTAACCCACGAAGACTGGGCCTGCAGTCCATTTCTGAATTTTGTATATCTACATTATCGTGTGAGAATAGGTTAACGAAATTAGAATGCTTTGAGTATTTATAATATCTCTAACAAATTGGAAATATTTTTAGTTTTAATATGCTGAATGCGCGAGCCTAGTAAATATAAAATGACAATCGGTAGAAATATTATTGGTTCGTATTATTTATAAACGTCGAAACGGGTCCAATTTAGGTAACTTTTACCTATGCAACGGATTCTAAAGGTACATTATTCGTTTGAAGCCAAACATAGTTACGGAAGCCTACAACTGTCAAGCAAATGTCGTTTAATGTCACACAGAGGTTACGCTCATGCAGCGGTGGTGTGTTAACGCGCAATGTGATGAACCTACCGTTTAGAGAGCTCAATGTGCTCTATTATTATAGCCAGATAAATTGTGTACAATAATACATCTCGTGCTAAGATTTGTGCAATTAAATATCTCGCGAATGCTTTTAGTATGTTAAACACTGCAGTTATTCTACGTATCTATTGAGATCTGTTACGTGCATGAAAAAATTTCAAAAAATGTTTACGTTCTTAACACGATTACTAGAGACGATCTAAGACGGTCAAAGTAAGGTTTCCAAAGTAAGGATCACAGCCCTTTGGTTTCGCGCTTTGCAACTCAAAGGGACGCGAAAGAATACATTGATCATCGAAGTTTGACCAGTTCCTCCATTCTTAAATTCCAATTTAAGAAAATTCTACGAAACGTTTACTCGGACTTCCGCGGTTTATCGTTTGGTATGGAAAATCTAACCGGTGGCATTCGTGCGCCGAGTCTACGGTTCTGTAAATATCAAAGAGTTCTTTCCGCTCGCACGATCGACTCACTCAATAGTTTCCACACTACGGACTTCGAACCAGTGAAATATTCGGACACACCGGCCGCATTCTCCGCCATTGATCTAAACATTATCCACCAAATAAAATGTACCAGAGCTTGGTTGATTGCCAATGACTACAGTGACTGACAGGAAGAATGTGACTGATTACCATGCCAACTATAATCGTTCGATATTTGCCGTTATCGCGTTTCTAATTATCGTTATATTTACGTTTGCAATTTGTACCTATTTTCACGGTTATACGTATCTAAGCTTTTAAAAGGAACGCATTAAGCAAATCTTTATCTTTCCCGCGAATTTCGAAAATGTAAGAGTTGCCGAAACCTATAGTAATCTGCGGCTACTCTACCATTCCAGATTCGTAAAGTAAACCTACTTCCCTATTGTATTCGTTTATGTTAATTTTACGTGTAATAATGTATCTGCGTTACGCGCGACACGTGTATCAGTTATATCAAGAAATGCACATCGAATTCCCATGTATAACATTGAGAGGATGTTTTCCAGATAGTATACTAGCGATTAAAGCAAACAAGAAAATCGAAAATTGATCAGTGACGAGAGTTGTTATTTGAAATCCGTATAGTTAGAAAAGAAGAGTTTGATCCGTGCTGGGTTTTAGTTCTTGAGCTCGCGCAGATGCAAGCGCGGTTAATTAGGCTTGACTGTGATTGCCTATTCGCGGCACGAACGCCTAAACGCGCGCGCCTTTCATTTTCTGACAAAAGTATCAAACGGAGATAGGCAAAATTCCTATTCAAATAAACATTGTATGTAACGAACGAGAGAAACTAATACATTTTTGTCCATCTTTGGTGGTAGAACGTAACAGACAGAATTAAGCAAATTACGAAGGACAGCTCGTTAACCATGCGTGACACAAGTTTGTGTCGCACGAGAATCTCAATGTACGCCGTCCACGCTATTATTTAAAACTTTCGAAAACCTATTACTCTCGGATAGCAACGACGTAGTTCGATTACCAAAGAAAGTTCTCGACCGCTTTCCAACCGTCGCCGTATTTACAAACTATTGCTACAGTCAATATATACTATTGTCTATCGAATTATCCGTCGTCGTGTTCGAGAGTTCACGGAGAATTCGTGGACAACGTTTTTCAACCGACCCGCAGCGCGTTCCTTAGTAGACAAAATTCAAACGTTCTGAATTTGTCGCTATCTCGTTTCTAATTGCCCGAACGCTGGAGAGAAACGCGCGAATGAAGCATCTATCAATCGTCGAATAAGCTAAGCAACGCGATTTTCTGTGTAATAGGGTTAAATAACGGGCACGAAACGAGAACTATGCCGGGAATTCTGAAGAGGACGCTAAACGATCCGACAAACACGAAATCTCGCCCGTTAATAGTTCGATGCCGCTGTTTATCAACGCGAGAATGATTCCGCTTCGGTTACGTTCAGACGCGCGAACGGGGAAGAAGGAAAAACCACCAACGACGTAAACGGGATCGTTCCATTGGAAAAAGCGAAATCGAAGAAGTCTGATAGAAAAGTAAAAATGGGAATTGTTTCACTCACGCGGGAAGTAATTCTTGTATAACTGCTTGTACATTCTGCGATTTCAGAAAGGATGATCACGGCACGTACACCAGGCTCACGTTCGGGACGGTCTTCAGAACATCGTTCGTGAAAACCGAGGAAACCGAGGAAACCGAGGAAACTGCGAACGATTCACTATATCCCCGATGTAACTTGGACGCGATACAGACCCGAAACCGACCGAAGGACTGACTGATGACATCGGTCATCCAGCCTGCGTATTTAAGGAGTCGGTAGGTGTGACTGAGTGGGGACGCCAGGTACATCCCTTCCTCGAGATAGAGAAGGACACCGAATCCTTAGGTTCGTACTTTGTACGAGCCACCCCTACCTGGGGGGTCTGTCTCCGAATTTCACCGCGTTCAATGGAACAAGGAATTTTTCACCGCTGTTCCGTCAATTCAATCGCGTTTACGTTAAAATCTCTGGGATATTTATTAACACGTTGATCGCCGCGTCACCCATATGTGGGTGACAGTGCTTTTCACTGAAGAACTAAAAAAACCTGAACCTTCTGAAAGTTAAGCTTTAAATAGAATGAATTTAAATGAAATTCGTGTACTTTGACGAACTTGCAAAAATAAATACCACGTCGGATGTTTGATTATGTAGTATCCAATAGTCTGAATAATATTTAATTCCAGCAGAAATTTTCAAGAATATTTCTCTGTCAGTCAACGTGTTAAACGGACGCCACGCTGCTACTTATTTCCAAACAGTATTTTTCACAATTGTAATTATGGCACATATAGTATATAGTAACGAGCGACATGTATAAAAATGTTCGAATGTTTTTACCTGTATCATTAGTCGTAAGTTTGCAAATGTGAAATTTTTAATGAAATTGTAAAAACTTCAGATGTTATTTATATTAGGTAGACTGGAACCGTAATGTCGTTTTCTTTTTACATTAAATCCAAACAAATTTTAAACAAATTTCTATTTTTTAATTAATTATGTAATCGCCATCGTTATCAACAGCCTTTTTGCCACCTAGCGCGCGAATTTTCAATGCCAGATCGATAAAAATTCAATGACGAGTGATAAACAAATATTTAAAATTGCAAAAACGACATTACTTCCCAGTCCACCTGATAGTAAATAGTATTATATGCGAACAGCAGTTTAATCATTCAACAGGTGAACAGCTTTTAATATTAATATGTGTTTATATACAATAAAAGCGTTACGCATTCATAGGTAACAAAGTATAGTTTAAAGTGAATACAAAGCAGTACGAATAATCGAAGTAATCTTTTGTTTAAGTACATTTGAATGTGTCGTGAATTACTCTGCTACAATGAAGAGTATCCGATCGTAGCTTTTACCTAGAAAGTAAAAATATGAGATAGGACGTTGCTCGAGTAATTGCATCCAACGTAAACGTGGCAATGTTGCGGCGCAATCGTCCTCCGTTGTCGTGTGTTGTTTTGTGTAGTTTCAGATTTGACATCGCAAAATGCGGCTTCCTTAATTTCCAATAATTCGCCGGTGTTTTACGTAATTCAGCGACTCGCAGACCGCACTGGAAATTCGTGCAGTCGCAACGAAATTCCGTTGTCGGATTTTTACATCGTTACGACATTCCCGCAATGGAAAATCCACGAAACGGCGCGACTGTACGTTGACGACTGACGCACCTGTTCGTTCGTTTAATCGACTTTCAACCCCCGAATTCGAGACCTCTTGAAATCGAGAACAGGGAAATTATGTATTCGATTGTCCCAATAGTTACTTTCGTAATTTCCACTCAATTATTTTGTGCGGTGGTGTTTATATAAATAGACAATCTGATTTCTTAGATGTTGATGTTGTAACAGTAATGGAGCAAATCGAATCGTACACAATTCGATAATGTAACATTAGACGTAAAATATTGTGTATGTATCACTTATTAATAAAACGAAAGAAACTTTTGGGACAACCTGACACAAACACCTTGATCGAAATAAAAAATATCTGAAATTTGTAAGAAACGATGCTGATAACGTAATTTAAGAATCCTAGAGGTCGAATCATCCCCTCAACAGCATTGTTACTTTTAACGTTATTACGAATATCAGCGAGAGCCTAAAAAAATATCGTCAAGTTTAATTCAAAGTTTTCTAACTTTTTGGTATCTCCTAAATTTTTTTTTTTTTTTTTTTTTTATTTTATAGGGAAAAACCACGTTAACTTTTCTCCGTCGTTCGTCATTTCTTCTCGGCTCGATCCAAGAATCGAATCGAATGGGCGACGGCATTATTGCGATTATTGTCACGCGAGAAACCGATTGTCTTCGACGTCAACTGGTAAACTTTCATTGATCGATATCGAGTACAGTTACCAAAACACGTTCTCTGCGTTTGTCAACGTCGATCGTAATGTTAATTGAAATCGGAAGCTGTACCCATACGACATCCGCGCCAGGAAGTGGGAGGAATTAAAATGAACGCGTTAACTTAATCTACCTTTTACATCGTGCACTGCCGCAAACTCAGTTTCAAGTAATTCCGTTTCGCACTCTGAAAGACATTAAATTCTATACCTAATAAGAAACACGAGAATCGAATCTGAAAGTAATATTAAATGAAATAGGACGGTCTTTTATTTAAAAAAATCGCGTCGAAAATATTTCGCTAAACTAATGCTAAGGTTTGTTGTGAACGTCACCATCCAATGGTGAAAGTCATAGTTCATTTGTTCAAATATCTCGTACATATTAAAATTCATGTTCAAATTTTTCAGGTAGCGCTTGGTCACCTCGAAATTGCACGGACCCGTGTCCTGCTAAGAAATAATTATACACTTTAACCGTTAGGTCGCCTTACGCATGGGGACCCATTCTATATCCTTCGACAATAAACGCCGCGCGTTTCCAAGGAAAATCCTTCGGCTCGAGCAAATCAACAGTTTCCTTCCGTGCACGGCACGTTCAATGGGGGTCCATCTACCTGAACGTATTTCCGAGTTCAGGTAACACCGGCCAAATGACCAATTTGCAGGTAAAATATTCATCGCTTGTAAAATATTTCCTCTGCAGCCTAGAAACTAACTCGTCGTAAAATTACAGGCTTAAACGCTTAATCTTACCCGCTTCGTATCCGAATTGTGATGCAGCAAACATTAATCGATAGCACGTGTTGCCACAACATTTAAAAACTTATTTTTTAATTTTGCACAATGGTTTCCTTTACGATGTATACAAGGAATAAGAAGGGATGTTTCGAAATTCAACCCCCAAGGGGGTAAAAAGGAGTTGCAACGTTGGTATTCCACGCGGGTGAAACCGCGGGATGCAGCTAGTTGGACATATAATTAAAATCAATAACATCTTTTATTTTGGTAACATTAGTATCGCGCAATATTTATTTGGTAAATTAGAATCGTTTTCCGACTGATGTTTATATAATATTTCATAGTCCATATAATCCTGGGGGGCATGCAATCAAGAGATATTATAAGTAAAGTAAGGGAGCCAGTCCTCTGTACTATAGCTAAAAAGAGAAAGGAAACCGCGGTACCCTGCCTGTCTCTGTCTATCAGCTCGTTTTTATATCAATTTTATGGTGATGATAAATGGTTATCGTTAAAAGCACAGAGATAGATAGAGTACCGCGTTTTTTTTTTCTCTTTCAGACAGGTCTGTGTTTCCTCTGCTCTATCTATAATATCTCTATGCATGCCATGCTATCCCATTGATAGATAACAAAGTATTAGTTGTCATGACAAAAAGCCGATTGATATGCTACCGATCGTTAAAGTGTCAAGTAATTATACAAACAAAATTGCATAAACAAGTATACTTTTTAGCGTATATGATTTGTCGTGTCGGTGTAATTTTGAAAATTGTTTTCATTGGTTATCACTAACATATGTAATCCCAGTACTCTGTAGATACATCTATCCTCCGATTTTATACCGCACTTCTTTCACACGGTTTTCGAAGTAACGAATTCTACAAAAATAAAAACGTTAAAAACAAAAATCCACGCTGTTACAGTCATCTTTTAGTACCATTACGTTTAGCGCTATACTTTCCTACCTGAAGCTAGGAAAGGCGGAGGGTTTGCGCGTTAACAATAAGGCACTTCGAATATAGGAGTCGACGCTGGAAATAAGTTTCCGTGTCCAGGGAATAACAGCGTTCACGCGTTCCTCGAATCGGTCGTACTTCAGGTATCCTGTAAGTCAATAATAATTCGGGACTCCGTTATCCTTTGCGAGAAGACCCCTTGCAGGTAGTACGTACTCTTAATGTACGAGGAAATTTCCAACAGCGACCTGGCCGAGTGGCAGCTTATCCTTGAACGCAATAAAACTACGGTCCCTCTGCGTCTATTGTCGAATTTTGTCGTATTTAATTGATCGCAATCCAGCGAGTCCCACCTTGGAAAATTAGTCGGAAATTTCGAGTCCTATCTCGGTTCTGTAAAAGCTTCGTTTTTAAAAATACCGAATTTGAAGATTTGTTGCATCGTTCTTCCCAACTTCCGCCGCAAGTTGTACGGCTGTGTATATCAGTGGTGTCCAACTTGTTTCATAATAAAGCAACTCACAAAAACAAAATTAGAAGTTGCCTACGTGAGTCCTCGTGGTATCTATATCGTATTATTTAAGAAAAAATTAATTTTATTTCTTCGGCGTTATTAAAAATTATTAAATCTCGAATTTATTTTGTGATCCATACATTACCGACAGCGGGAAATTTTTTAACGATAAAACCAGTCTATCCTACGTGCCTTTGTCTATCAGCGTATTTACATATCATTTTTATGGTAATGATAAACGATCGTTGTTTATATTTTTAATGATTACATACATATTCTACATTCACATTAATGAAAGCACAGAGATAGATACGATTGTAAGATCGTTGCGAAATCAACATGACAACGTATATCCAGTACGATTGGAAAATTTATATATGTATTTTTTGAATGATACTCGTAAATGAAATTACTGCAGAGTCATCCAATATTCGGTACGGTTTACGATCAAAGTTCAGATAAACGGCTCGTTACTCGATACTCGTATTTTGAACAGTACTACAGTTTACTTCGAACGACTGAACTGTGTTGTGTGTTACTCTACATGTTATTGTTTGCACTACACGAAAAATGAAGAACGGCAATCAGATTCTTGCAGAGGCCTTGAAAGATCAGGTACCAGCCGGTTTTCCGCATTTCTTCGTGTCTATGTTCATTTCTTTCGACTTCACTTAAATTGAAATCGTAACGTCACTTTTAAGGTTATGTTCATCTACTATTGTCAATGAGATGTACTTGTATTAATTCGATGTCGGCAAAACGTTCATTTGTAATCTTATTATTAGTCTATGTTTACTATCCATTTCTCATTATTAATCAGTGATTTCGTAAACAATTGAACTTGCTGGGAATAGGTTGCGTTGTATATTTAGCTTATCTTATCAATTCTGTGAAAGTCAGTAGACTGACAAGGATACTCGGAGTTGAAGCAATCCAAATTGTAACGTTTTTAATTTCAAACACGTAGGAAATAATCGTCCACTTGCGAAGAACTTATAAAACGTTTCGTATTTAATGCCACGATGACTCGAGCACGAAGTTCGAGCCTCGGCTGCTACTTCGAAGACACCTTTTCCTTCTCTAATTGGGAAATATTTTTCGGAAAATAATTGTTCATCCCCTAATTAATCTCTATATGAAATATTGAAGAATTTAAAACTCGAGTAGGAAAGCACATTGAAAGTATCAAAAATATATTAATAAGTATAAAATATATTAACACCTTACCGACTGGTTAGATATATACATAATAAAATTTAATAATATTTTTTATTTTCGTAATAGTAGCATCATACAATACTTATTTTATCTATTAGAATTTCATAGTTAATAATAAATAACAAAGTATAGTTGCCATGATAAAAAGCTGATTAATAGGCTGTCGCAGGCTACCGGTCTGTCAAGTATTAAATACATACAATATATTAAAAATACTCAAAAAAAATTGTCAAGAAAAAAGTTTACGAGAATAACGGAACTACTTGATCTAAAATTTCTTATTCAATTTTGCAAATGCACGTATACCATTAACAATTATCTCGCGAGTATTAAGTTTTGAATAAACTTAGTAGGTTATATACACGAATCACGTTATTTTTCAAGAACAAACGAAAACTTAAATATTTCGTCGTTTATAGTTTCTTCCTTTCATAATTAGGAAATGCAACCTTCCCTCCGTCAAAGTAGATTATTCATAGTCGGTTTGCCCATGATCGAAACTTACACGAAGGTCGTACCGTCGTATACATGCTTCGGCGACCATAAACATTTTGGTATACGAACGACAAAGAAAGTTTCCTTTCCAAAAAAGGGTTTCAGGTATTCAACGACTGATAAATGAACGGACTAACAATGTACCAGGCACGAATAGTTTGAAAAACCCTAAAACTTTACGACCAGCGTTCTGCAGGCATTATGAAGCACCTAAACCTCGCGTGGCATGCAAATCAAAACAAACTAACTTGATCGACAATCTATCATTTATTTTTGTCTCTTTTTAATCGATACGCGTACGTATCTTCTGACGTTCTACGTATCCGTTTGAAATTAATTAATTCGAACAAAGTTGAGTTAGATAAAAGTTAACAACGTAATAGAAAACAACAACACTCACGTTTCTTTTGTCCCTGTATAAGCGGAAGTCGTTCCTCTTCGTAACGGAACATGCTGCTTCCGAAGAAATCTGGATTTTCACTCAATTTCATTCGATTGCTATCGATTATTGATAGTTGACTCCAAAGCACTGGCACTGTACGTTGTCTGACGTTTCTTCGACTTGAGAGAAATTCTCTTCACTGCGTCGCAACAACTTTCTTGATAAATAGTGCACCGATTAGGGGAACTCGCAAACGATTGATACTGAATTCAAGCAATTCATTACTTGCATCGGTATAATTAGCAGCTGAATGATACACGAATTCGTTTATTGGCAATAATAACCGCAAGAAATAGGAATGCATAGGCGTAATCTATAATTCTCTATTAGTGCGATAGCATTAGATATTGCGGTTCTTGTTGCTTTTTTTTCGCCATGCTTATCGCGACATAGCTTCTTGGCGACTGTGCTACCCTAGTGTCGCTGCGAAACTAATGTGTACGTATCGTACCTTTATTATGTAGTAGTATACTTATATGTTATTATATACCATAATTATTATCATCTTAAATTTCACTCTTAATAATTAATAAAATTTCATACAATGTTAACGTTATCGATATTTAATACCTTCACAATAATGCAAAGTAATGCAAATTTAACTTCTTATTGAAATGAAATGTATTATAGATCGTAGTAATCGATCTCGTGTACGTTAACAGTAATCATGAAGTGATTTTGCATATGATAACTGTATCAAAATTTTTGTTTGTTTAAACAGGGTATCGAATATGCTTTCGGGATAATGGGCCACCCTGTAATCGACCTGGCACTGTGCATCCAAGCTATGGGTATCCAGTACCTTGGATTTAGAAACGAGCAAGCCGCTTGCTACGCAGCGCAAGCTTATGGCTACCTGACGCGTAAGCTGGGAAAATCATAAATCACGTTACAAGAGAATCGTTACACGAACCTAAGAGCGTGACTCAAGGAACGTAATTAATGTTTCCATTATAACGCGTAACGATTCGTTAGCATATCATGCATCCACGGTGCTTCCGAATTAATTAAATTTGTTTCTGTTGATCAGGAAAACCGGCGGTAGTTTTATGCGTCTCTGGGCCAGGATTACTTCACGTCATGGGTGGTATGGCAAACGCTCAAGTGAATTGCTGGTGAGCGTTGTATGGCTCCTTTTTCTGTACCTTTCAAACATAACAATTGTAATCACTTTGAACGCTTTCTTATATTATGATTATACCAAGAAACGATTCGAAAATACTTTTATTAATATTATTCTGCATGTATCAGGCTTTAATGCAAAATGACAATCAATTTAAGAAGATGTTCAAAATAATCAAAATTCGCCGTTCCTTCGCTATTGTAGTTGGCGATCTGACTGATATATGATACATATGAAAGAATTCGATACCGAATAGGAAGTATCATTAGAGTCTCAAGTACTTAATATCAAGTTTCAATACAGGTGCTTTTGGAACTAATGTTGATAAATGCTGTTAGAGATTGTATTAGAATCTTAAATAAAAGCATACGTATTATTTAGTAATTATAACATAACAGGAAAATATAAGACACGTCTAAAAGACCACGATACGCAGAGTGAAACTATGAAATTCATGGAAGAAGAAAAATGAAATAATATATTTAATTGTATCACTAATTACAGTACAGTACTCGGCACTAGGATCACAGAAAAATCATTGATGTAACCAATTGCAATCATTTGTTCTTCTTATCATGAACATGCTTTAATGCGCTTACACGCATATACTTATCTTTCATCTCGCGGTAATCTTACATCAAACTATTATGATGGATTGTGTAATCGGGTTCGCATTCATTGCGCCATATTATTAAAGAAAATACATGTAAGTTAGGTAATGATTATGTAAACTTGTCGCACGGTAATCGTGTTAAAGGATGCATAAGCGTCAAAGAGTTACGGACATGATGCCGACATTCGTTGAAAATCATTGAAGAAGAATTTGAATCTGCGTTATTAAAAGACTATAATATTTCTGTTTCTCGACGTTAAGTAGAATTCAAGCGCATATGTATTTATAAATTAAATGAATCCCTATAATTATCCATTTCACTTAGTATCGTTAAAATATATTTTTGCTAAATTACAGAAATTGCCCTTGTCTAACTTGTTGGCTAGAAACATAAGTTTGCTTTGTCTTTTTACGAGTATTTTGTTAACCAATATTTATTGTAAATTTTTACGCAGGCCAGTCATAGTACTTGGCGGATCGTGTTCCGAGGATCACGAAGGGATTGGCGGTTTTCAGGAATGGCCGCAGGTAGAATCCAGTAAGCCCTATTGTAAATATGCTGCCAGACCACCACAGGCAACACTCATACCGCTCCACGTAGAAAAGGCCGTTCGACTCTCTATTTATGGTCGACCAGGTATATTTATTTCATAGAACATGCCACGAGAAGACACTAGATTTTACAGCTATGTAAACCTGGCACCCGACTTTCAAAAATTAATTTTTTTTTTATGGAAAATGATAGTATTTCGACATGAAAATTCATTCAGAGTATTTTACAGTTCGTCTTCGTTGTTACTTTCAGGCGTCGCGTACTTGGACTTGCCTGCCACTTTGTTGAACCAGTCGGTCGACGAGGATAAAATATACAAAGTGGCGCCCTGTCCAACGCCGCCACTGATATTTCCAGATAAACAATTAGTTCAACAAGCTGCCAACTTGCTCATGCGAGCAAGAAAACCGCTACTGATCGTCGGAAAAGGTGAAAAGTGAATAATAACGAAATTTTAGGAAACGTTAGGAATGCCTATCAATTTAAATGATTTTACAGGAGCTGCTTACAGTAGAGCAGAAAAAGAAATTCGTAATCTCGTGTATTCGACGGGTATTCCCTTTCTCCCGACACCTATGGGAAAGGGCGTTATTCCAGACACGGATAAACGATGTGTTTCTAGCGCGAGAACTTTTGCATTGCAACAAAGCGACGTTATTATATTACTAGGCGCCAGATTTAATTGGATGTTACACTTTGGCCAACCGCCTCGTTATCAAGATAACGTTAAAGTGATACAGGTATCACACACTTAAAAAAGAATTATTTATTTATGTTGATAATGAATATGTCTAATATCTTACTACTTATTGATAAATGGTGATTTTATTCTAGATTGACTTATGTCCAGAAGAATTACACAATTCTATTCTTTCTGCAGTTGCGATTCAATCTGACCTGTCCACAGCTGTGGACTGTCTAGTTAATATTTTGAAAGCTCAAAAATGGTCCTTTGATGAAAATAGTTCATGGTGGAAAGACCTTCTGATTAAAGCAAATAAAAATAAAGAAATGGTTCATGTAAGTATTATACTTCAGAAAGTATTTCTAACCATTGATAAAATTATATAAATATTACTTTTGATTTCTCTGTAGAGAATGTCCATGGATACTTCAGTGCCTTTAAATTACTATACCGTTTTCAAACATATTCAAGATAGTATTCCACCAGGTTGGTTTTTGTGTATTTTAATGTAAGCAAATTTAGCAGCAAACAATAGAAAAAAGATTAGAAAAATATGTATTGATACTTTTTAGATTCTATCATTTGCTCAGAAGGAGCAAACACAATGGATATTGGGAAAACAATGTTATTGAATAATGAGCCCCGTCATAGGTTAGATGCTGCTACTTTTGGTACCATGGGAGTTGGCTTAGGTTTTGCCATTGCAGCAGCTCTTTATTGTAAAAATAATGCACCTGGTAAAAGAGTATTTTGCGTGGAGGGGGACAGTGCTTTTGGTTTTTCTGGCATGGAAATTGAAACAATGTTTAGGTAACTGGATTTAATAAATATCCAAGAAACTCATTTTCATAAATTTCAATATTACAGATATAAATTGCCTATAATCATTATTATTGTAAATAATAATGGCATCTATAGTGGCTTAGACACTGAAACTTTTAGACAATTGCAAGCTACAGGGGAGCCAACACAAGTGTAAGATTTTACAATATTCAAAATATCATTTATGGAAGTATATGATATTGCATACATATAAATTTTTTAATTTAGAACACCACCCAATTCTTTAACATCTGAAACACATTATGAAAAAATGATGGAGATGTTTGGTCAAAAAGGACACTTTTGCAAGACTGTACATGATATTCAACATGCAATAAAGTCATGTCTTCAAGTGAGATTAATTTATAATTTGACTTCAATGTTTTTAAAAATTAAGAGTTTTAATAGAACTCAACCTTTTTCCCAGGTGAATGATGCTCCCAGCATGATAAATATTATGATCAATCCTCAAGCTGATCGTAAAGAACAACAATTCAGCTGGTTGACAGAATCAAAACTTTAAATTTGTTAATTCTGTTAATAATTCTGTTAAGTTTAGATCCAATATGAATAAGGTGAAAGGCAGAGCATGTGCTGTATATATTTTTATTTTTTTGTATAAAATTGTCCATTTGTATTTTTATAAAAATATACAAAAAATATACAAAGTATTTAATAATGAAAATTAAATTCATACATCTTCTAAACACTCGTTTATTTTTTCCTGGAATCCAGAAGCAGTGAGACCATTCTTTAAATTAAATTGTAATTCGTTATCTTCTCCATTGCAACTTAAAACATTGTCAACGTTTATTCCTATATTATTTGCTAATGTGGTCAATTTTTTATTTGCATCAATTACTGTTTCATGGAGTTGACCATTTCCTTTTATAAGATGATTAATCATGGCCAACTCGCTTTTTCTAAAAAATCAAATAATTATAGTTTACTCACTCGAAATTTGAAGTTGGGTAAAATCACTGTTACGCCGTATCTACATTCATAGGTGATTTCATTAAGTTGCATTAATTATTTTATGGGAAGAGAGAAATACTACGTCTTACAAAATATCTAAATCTTACATTTTTGATGTTACTTCATGAATAGAAAACAACGTTTTCTGAATTTCAATTTCTACACTCGATCCGTCCGACATCGCGTTCATTCAATAGTGTTCAAAAGTGTCAAATTTGTGAACCACTGTTCATACGGCAACAGGTGCATTATGTGCAAACTGGTGCAAACCATCGTTCATTTTACAAAAAGATAAACTCTAATTCTAATGATTCCAATACCACATCACATTACTTGCGGAAGAATCTCATTGGTCCGATGCGTTCTAAATCAACATTATTTTTATAAGAAATAACTAGAATTATTATAAATTTGTAATTTTTTATATTAATTCGGACCTCGTTAGTTTTGAAATTGTTTGAAATATGCTGAAGAGTATACTGGAGTAAACATTTCAGTGTTCTTAAACAAAGTGTAATAGTTACTATCATATTCGTGAAGGCATGAAATTAAGTGTAGTTCACAGAGCGCCGGATCTACCACATTCTGCATACATTTCTGGCGGAACGTCGTATCAACCAATACAAAATAGATCACGAGACAAACTCTGGTTAGATTGGTTTATATTGGTTTATATCCAACTCATCCGACTTCATCGTCTCATGGATCGTACTGACGTACTATATCTTTTCATTGGTTGTTCATACAACCATACAACTCCATGCAACTATCATAGCATGTTACTAAACTTTACGAGTTTAGCGGAGTTTAGCACGAATTCCAATTACTAAATCTTTTAGTAAAGAAAACTTTATTCACCGTCTCAATTAATCGAATCGAGCGTTATTGGTTGCTAGCAAAAATAACATTCTACCAATCGCGGGACGTGGAAACCGTTGACTGTCGTTTCGCCAATGCACGTAGTTGACGTCACTTAAAATCGTGCCGCATGAAATAGAACCTTGAAACTGTAAATTATCGTTAAAAAAGACATGACACCGAAAACATCTTTCATTCTACAGAGCGATGAGACAAAACATACCGCGATGATAATGAATAGAGATCCGTAAATTGGTGGTCGCAGGCGCTTGAGGTTAAATCATTCTGGATATCACGCTTCAAATGCTAGCTCAGTTTCATCGTAATTTCGCATGAGTGCCTGACTTTTTTATCAGCTGATGTATTCAGTGTTGTTCGGTAGTACTGCGTGACTAAACAATTGCTGAGGGAATTTCTAGTCGTTCAACGTGTATATTCTAGTCGTTCGATATGGCAGAATTCGCGTTAAACGAACTTAGCGGCGAACAGACTGAGAAGGTTCTGCAGCTCCAGGTAATTCAGTGATTTTACGTGCCATATCTTTTTTGTTGAACTCCGTGCTCGATTCCTTGAAGTCATGATGAAGCAACATCATTTTGTTTCTTTCAGGATTTGACTGGTATTGAAGACATGTCGATCTGCAGAGATGTTTTACAAAGGCATCATTGGAATTTAGAGGTTGCTGTACAGGTAGAGATCTTTTATTGTGTATTTATTGGTAGCAACTGTTTATAATCGTTTTTCAAAACACCACTTGTACATTTTTAAAATCTTTGGAAGTGATCGACATGCCAGTGCAGTTTTTGTATATGAATATCAAATAATTATACTTTCGTAATATGTACACACTGATTGTGCAATAGAGCTGTTAATACAATCTCAAGGATTCTATATTTATTATATAGAATCTATATACATTAAATGTATTTGTCTTTTGTACTTAGGAACAATTAAACTTGTATGAAGGACGGCCATCAATGTTTGCTCAAGATTCACGGTCAAGACCACCACAAGTTGTCGATGATAGCAGTTCTAGAATATATTTTCATTATTCTGGAAGTTCTAGTGGCAGTGGTAGTTATTTATGGTACATCTTTTATTTTTGTTACGAAAGATTGATCAGTACCCTACAGCTACTTCTTTCAATATTTAGAGGAAATGCTAGACCTGGTAAGTTTTAATTTTGCACAGGTTCATTGAATTGTGATTAAAATCATGTTTGTTATACCTCAAAAATTTTACAAGTCAAATTTATGTATCAATTATATTTAAAGTGTCCTCTGATCCAGTCGAAGATGTAATTAACTTCATTCGATCATACGAAGAACGTTATGGTAGTAGTCATCCTGTATTTTACCAAGGTTCTTACAGCCAGGCACTTTCTGATGCAAAACAAGAATTGAGATTTTTATTGGTATATCTACATAAAGATGAAGCTCAGGACATTGATAAGTGGTGCAGGTAATTGTTTAGCATGTTTATGGAAGATTATAATAAATTTTTTATCTGTATAAGTAACTGAAACTTATCTTTACATGTACAGAAATACATTAGGTAATTCTGAAGTTGTCCGATTCATAAACACACGCACTTTGTTTTGGGCATGTAACGTGCAATCCGGCGAAGGCTACAAAGTAGCAGAAGCCCTTAGACCTGGGTCTTATCCTTTTCTGGCCACAATTGTTTTGAAAGACAACAAAATGACAATAGTCGGCCGGTATGTAATGTGATTTATATATGTATCTTTATCTAATAATTTGTTCTTTAACAAAGGCAGTATAACTTACTGAATTGATTTATCTGTATTGTAGAATGGAGGGTAAACCGTCTCCTTCTGATCTAATATCTCGTTTGCAAGCAATTATAGATCACAATGAAATTAATTTAATACAAACACGCCAAGATAGGTAAAATATATTTAATTAAATATTATTTTTTGATTGTGGAAAGAAATAAGCTAATATTTCAATATTAAAAGAATAATGATTATAAGAGCATTAATAATGGCTTATTAATTTCAAATATTTTTAAGTTTGATTTTTACTTTGATTTATGCTAAATGTACTTCCAAAGAACTTCTACTTAAATGTAAATTTGTTTAATACAGGGCGGAACGTAGTGCTGCTCAGTCACTGCGTCAGCAACAAGACCAAGCATATGAAGAGTCGTTACGCGCTGATCAAGAAAAGGATCGTAAAAGGGAAGAGGAACGAAGAGCGCGCGAGGAGCAAGAGGCTAGAGAGAGAGAGGAATTAAATGCACAAGAATTAGAAATTCAACGCATTCGTCGTGAAAAAGAGCTTACCATTCGTAAAGTACCCTTTGAACCAGAGCCTAGTAATCCTAATGCTTGTCATCTTCAAATTAAGCTTGGGGAGAGGACAATGATTCGACGTTTTCTCATGTCTGACACGATAGAAGTAAATTGATTATTTATTCGAACCGATTAATCTCACACTATTACAATTAATACATTCTTCCTTTACAGGATGTATATCATTGGATATTTAGTCAACCGGATTCTCCAACAAGTTTCGAAATAACTACAAGCTACCCGAAGAGAATTTTGTACCCGTGCAGGGAAATCTCAACATTATCGAAAGCCGGATTAACTCATAGAGAAGTTCTTCATGTTAACGACTTAGACGATTAACCTCTATTGATCTTTCAGTACTTCATTCTTTGTGTTTAAGTATCATTCCACGGACAAAAATGATACTGTCGTAAGAGACATTTATCAAAAGATAATATATATATATATATATACATAAAAAATATGTATATATTTGATACATTCAAATATTGAACGTGAAGTGTAGTTCAATATCGGAAGTGCAGTTGTAAAACGGGTCTGTAAAACAAATCAGAGGAAAAAAGGAATGAAAAACCGTCTGTTGTGTTGCATCTTCTGTGTAGAACAACCGTATCAGCTATTAATTAGTACATTTCTCGTGTACTGCGAATAACACGTTCATTAAAAGTACACATTAAATAGAAAAAGAGCAGATTTCGTTTTAGAAACAAAAAAAAACTTTATATATATATAAGTACGACTACACAAAAGCTGTACACCAAACATTTATTATACTCGTCTTAATACATCGTAGCTTAAACAAATCATGTAATAAGCTGACTATGAAGCGTAGGTAATTTATAAGATAGATGAACGGACGATGCAGTAGTTATAATTAAAGTACAGATTTAATATGGTGTTTGCAATTTTCTTAGAATTGGAGTCACGTTGTGTTGATTTGAATCTGTACTTTAAATGTAACCGATGGAAATATTTCTAGCAAATGTGGTTCCTTCTGCATTTTACCGTCTATGCAATTCTGGTCAGTCTTATTGGAAATGCTGTTAGATATAACGAAAGAACGAAATCGCAATAGATTTACCGGACACATTAAACTATACGCGACGATACAAATTTCTGTATCAGAAAGAACGAAGTTAAAAGATAATGTTTATTCTAGATGATAATCCGATTGTTTTCGTATATCGCGATCTTGTGATGACTCGCGGAATGACGATTATATTTCTTTCTTTGAGCGAAGTATTTTAGTTTTATGTAATCAAAAACTAAATGAATTACATTGTAACGTCTTTGGTTTTAGGCGGAAAAGAGCGGTTATCAATCTCTGTTCAGGTAATGTATGTTACTTTATTTGTGGGATACAAGGAAATCGTTTAACATGTAAGAGTTGAATTGATTTTAATTGGTATTATAAGCGTTGGGATGTTAGAAATTATCCGTAATTTTCTAAATATTAGCTTGAAACGTTCACGAATTATCATTTCTTTTGATGCAATATTTTTTCTGTATAAAAGAAAATTAACAAAAAACAAAAAACAAAAAAAAACTGAACAACAAAGTAAGTGTCACTTACAAATTTTGTATTGCTCCTTCTAAATGTTCTATAGAATAATATAAAATATTCAAGAGCAATCCATAGCATTTATACATACATGTATACATATGCATATATAAATCGTTTGATAAAACACGGATCTGTGCGATGCATCAGATTTGTTGACCATTAAATGTAAACTTTTGTATACACATTTTGTGATCTAGTTTTGATACATCTTTATTTTCCTTTAGATACACACTTCTGTATATACCTAAAAACGGTCAGGCATTTAGTGCCAGTGTCTGATGCTGGATATTGCTAACTTTTTGTTATAATTTAATGCTTAAATAAATATATTTCAATATATAAACATATGGTTTGTATGCATATCTTATTGTCTGATTAACTGCATTGTTAATAAGATTGTGTAACTTTCATATTGCTAATGCCAAGCATCAGATGCAAGCATATCTCCTGGGTAAATTGCAACCAAGCAATTGCTTGGAGCAAATAATTAGACAAAATACAATCAAATTCACATACACACGGAATAGAAAACAGAATCGTTCTTGTTTCTCCTTTACACGGACAATCGTAGCAGGCTGTATCAATCACCATTTGTCAACAGGCTTTAGTCAATTGACAAAATGATCCACTGAAGCGCCATATTGCTCATAGACATTATTAAAAATGTTTATCTATTTGGTAGCTTTTGTGGCTACGTTATTTATTATTTTTGGACTCGTACACGTCAGGTGTCTGTAAGTGATAGTGAATACTTCCCCTTTAAATACATTTCCAGTATTTCCATGCAATCAAACAAACTCTGTGGTTCTAGAAACGATTGGCTACGATCATCGATTTGTTCTTCTCTGCGTAATGGGTTGTTTCGTCGCTCAGAAATCGAGGCGTCGTTCAATAACGAAGATCTCGAGTCCACTTTCACATCTGAAAGATCTCTGACCGAAACCGGCGAAGTAAGAGAGTTTGACGATTTCTTGACACAAAGGGCAATGTTCAGCAATAAAGAACGATTATCGGACGTACTCCTGGCCGAAACTGGAAACAACTCGAGAAATTTGAATCAACCGCGGTATTCCTTCGAGGATATACTTTCAGGCGAGAGGGACAGAGATTTTGGAATACCTGGTATTTACAAACGTTTGTTCTCTTTTCAAAAACTGTACATATTATCTAAAAAATTACGATTTATTTTAAGAAATAATAAGACTTTTATAAATACAAATGTATATGCACTGGCACAACATTGTGTATTAATACAATTGTTATGTAATCAAATGGGAATTGGCTTTTTTGGGAAGAGAAAATCTTTGAAAGCATTTTTGTCTATGGCTAAAAGCAAATCAGTTATTTAGGGTGGCCTATTTTAATTGTCTCGAAGGAAAAGAATTAATGTCGTGTTCTGTAGCCACTAGGGCTTTGCAACTGGGAACTACGAAGGACGATAGTATCAGGGCTACAAAACAGGAGGGAAATGAAAATATATTCGAGTCTCTGAAGAGTTCGATAGAAAGAAGTACCAATCCGTCGTCCCGATTGAATACCAGTCAAATATACAATCTAATTTTGAAAGAAACTCTCAAGGACAAGGCGGCGAGACAGAAGCTCCTTGAGAATGAGAAGAGCAAGTTCAACGAATCGTTGCCGAATAAATTGTATGACATTGATACAGTAGTTAGAAAAATTAATCTTTCATCGATTCTTTAAATTGTTCACGATAGAAATTGCCCTGTCTTCGATTACAGAGTGGAGCACCTTCCTTCTCGATCCGAGAACAGATCTGAACGCGAAGATGATACCAATAATACAGCAAAATCTGATAATTAAACGTTAAAAATAAAATTGTTTTGCATTTATTACATTTATTCACTGTTATTACATTTATTCACTGTAAAACAGTATGGACGAGATTACTTCAAATTTGATGCATCGGTTGAATATGTTTCCCAATGTCACCGTTCTCAGATGTAGAGTGCGCTTTAGAACAATTCGTCTTTTTACGCAGACGGTCCTGAATGCTTGAATTTCATTGAATTTGACATGTTTGCTTGTGTATAGTCGTGTTTACATTGCCAAAGGTTTTCCTGCACACAATGACAAAAACGTCAAAGAAGTGGTCATCGGAACGCATAATAAAGTTTTTGGAAGCATACGAACAATATCCATGCCTGTGGAACCACAAACTTCCATCGTATAAAGATAAAAGTAAAAGAGATGAAGCATTGAGAAAAATTGTTGAGGTTATGTCTGATCCTGAATTGAACGTAAACTCTGCAAAAGCCAAAATACGCAGTATTCGAAATGCCTATACATTAGAGCATCATAAAGTTTTAAAATCTTACAAAAATGGAATATCTGGAGACATATACAAACCAACGGTATGTTGGTTTTCTGTAGCTGATCGATTTCTGAAAGGAATTGTGGAAACAAGAGATACAAAGAATGCTTCGGCAAGTGTTTATACAGTTATTTATATTACGTAATATAAAAATAATTCAAATTGCTTCTTTCTGTCATGGTATTCTTTCTGTTAGACCAATTATGCTTGTCTAAAAAATATTAAAACATTGATATTAGAACGTAGCTTGCGTCTAATGTTGTTTAGGAATTGCCAGAGTTACGTGGATTACAAGGACATATTGAAGAAGGTCATGAAAATGAGGGAAATGAAACTTCTTTTCAAAATCATTATCATTTCGAGGTGGAAGAGACTGCAGCAGATAATCATACTGTCCATTCACTTGCATCATCCACTTCAAATCAATCAATCAAAGATCCTCAAAAGATAATAGCAAAAAGAAAATTTATGAATAATAAGCAAGATCACCCTTATAAACAAGGTAAATTTAGCAATATAGATGCTGTTGTTCAAGCAGTCAATACTTTGCAAGACATAGCACGAAAAGCAGATGCTCTTCAACCAGCAGTCGATGAATTTGAAGCCTTTGGGAAATCTGTTGCCGCTCATTTGAGACAACTTCCTATAACCATTGCTTTAGAGTGCCAGTGTGACATATTACACTACTTAGTTCAGAAAAGATTAGGCCAAAGAGCCTCATTTACAACTATGGTACCACCTTCACAATATTCTCATTTGGTTTCACCTTCGTATTCTTCACCAACTACCTCAACCTCAACTTCATGCTCCTATTTAATAGAAGACACATCTACAAACAATGTCATTCAACCATCGACAGATGGACAACAGTCTAGCATCAGTGACTATGAAAGTAAACATACTGTTCCAAAGCTTGAGATAATGTGAATCATGTCAGTTTCACATGTTGTAAGTTGAAATTGTAAATGATACATAAATGAATTATTACTCATATTGTACACTTGTATGAAAAGAAAATTAAGAGCGTATATAAATCGTGGATGGGCACATGTATGTGTGTGTGTGTGTGTATATATATATACGTACATGTGATGTACTGTATATTAGTTTTCTATAGATTTAGAAAGCACCTGTTTCAAAGAAGTAGGTGGCATAAAGGTAGAGTGGATTTATTTATTGAAAACACCATTTCGGTTGTTTATTTTTGAAGTCTCGTATTACAATATAGTAACGTCGACATTTTTACAGCATTTAATAAAGTCTTAATGTCAAAAATAATTATATTTCAATACTTCCAATACTAGCTCTTTCTCTGGGATTCAGTACTTAGCACACAGCAAAAAAATCTATATAACAATGAATATTTTTCCTGAATTTAAATTATACGGAAATTCTTGTAAAAATCGTATGCAATTAAATGTATTGAACAAATTTAAACATGTTTTTAAAGAGTTATTTACATGGACAAGATACTTTATTGTTCTACTTTATATGTGGTCGTGCTTTGGCTTTTTGTCTGGAACACTGAGCATGACTATGGGCTCGTAAGCTGTTGAACACTTTATTATTTAATTTGACATCGAATCCTCCTGTGTCTCCTGTATGAATACCAGGAGGAAACTGTAGAACTCTACAGGCATTTATCCTTGAAGACATTAGCATGTCATGTTTTGTAACAATCTGAGATCCTTCACCTAGTTTCTTATATCCACTACGAGGAATTGAAGCATACTCTTTTTCTATACTCTAAAAAATATTAAACATATTCTTAGTGCTACATTTATAGATAAAAATTTATGTAATTGTACACTATGAAATGCTCACTACAAATCGATCAAAATCCCTCTTTGTATCTTCAATATCTGTACTATCTTTCTCATCTTGATCGTTTGACAAAGACATTCGGTAGTTTGTGTAGGTAATATTAACTATAAAAAGCAAAAAACTTCAAATTCATCATATGAATAATTAAAGATCACCATTACCTTTAGAATCGCGATTGAACTTTTCTTCTGTACGTTTCAGCATTAAATCATGCTGCTTGTTGTATTGGTCTTGCAACATGTGTGCAATCACTTCGTCACTGTCTGTGTCATTGATTTCAAATATTGTGCAATCTTGAATATTTACATCTTTTGCTGGTTCAACCTTACACTTCCTTAGTTCTCTGTCAATGGATATAATTCTTATTTTATAACTATACTTAGAACAGAATTGATGTACTTAAATTAATTGTTTGTTGCTTACTTTTCTTGTAAACTGTTTGCAAGTTGTTCAGAAGCTATCTCTAATAAACTGACTGGTCCTTCTATTGGTTGGATTTTGGCCCACGGAGTCGACATTTTTAACAATAAATTAAATTACGCGTCTAGAAAAAAGTGCTATAAAGTATACGTTGAAAGTATTTTTTATTACTGATCGTACCCAAGTCAAAAACGATTTTAAGCGATTACATACACAATTTTTAAATGAAATTATTTTTTCAAAATTTTCTCGATTCGTTTTAATAAAATTCTTACAATTTTGTTAGATTGTTTAGTTGACAATTTCTTTTCTAGTAATTTACGACTCATTCAATCACGTAAATGTCATTACAAGATTATTCAAGTCAAATTCACCATTTTTTGTTAATAGAACAAAACAAGAAAGAAGTGGCACGTACCTTAAAACTACAAGAAGTAAATTGCAAAATTTGGAAGACTAGACAACTGATAAAAGTATGAGAAGGTTCTGAAATCTGAACAGACGAACAGAATACAATAGACTCTAATTCTAAACGAGAGTACACTCACACTAAAGGCAACTCAAGTACATTGAGGTGTACGACGTGAAGTTCAACCAATGTCAGTTTCCAACAATATCGATAAGCACTTTGTCCAACTTTACCTATATGAACAAGTAAGTACTTTTAGACAGCTTATGTATGTTTATGTCGTCAAAGGATAAGTAATGATAAGTATGTTTGAGAAACATGTTAAAACTACCAACAAAAAATAAAGGTACTACATTCGAGGTAAATTCAAAAATCCTGTTCTCTACTGTTATATTGACAAATAAAAGTAATACTTTCAACTATATGTGACATAAAAACACGCAAATTAATGTTTTGAAATAAATATTGAAATAAAAGGTTAATACATTTACGGTATAACAGCAAAGTTCTAAAGCTAAAATATTTACGTCGGTTAATTTAATTATAAATCGCGTGGTACATCAAGGTCTTAACCTAAAAAATATGGACAGACGAAGCTATATACAAATTCATTTTCTTTAGGAAACGAAACGATAATCATGGACATGCTCACAATTTCTTACAACTTTAACACAGTGTTTTCATGTGTCATGATTAAACGATTACTACCACCAATCATTTCATCTGAAAACCCGTAAATTGTAGAATAAACTCATTCCACTTAACAGGTGGTACTTTGACTTCTCGTTTTCCTTTTGCATGAAAAATTTCGAAAAAGGTTCTTCTTTGTTAATGCTGTATTTAGAGATCTAAGAGGTTTTTTAAATAATAGTATTTGAAGAATCTTATAGTTTTATTGTTTTATTTGCTTATGAAATTATCAACACCATGTATGCACATTATACGAACAGATAAAAATGTACTCTTTCATGAAGATACAAAACATCCAACAATCCTTCTACTGTAGATCAATAATGAAAGTAATTATGCTTACATTGAGAGTAACATAGCGAAATACGACATGCAGTTTTTAAAAGTCTTAAAATAAAAACGTTTTTGTTATTAATTCATAATTATGTCAGGATGTAAATACTTATTTATTTTCTTGTATTCATATTAGTACTTACCATTCCAAAATTTGCTATGTTCATTTTATAGAGTCCACCTGCAGTCAATTCGTATGGTTTGCTACATCTCATTTGTGTTGTGAGTAATATGAACTTTTCCTGTCACAACAGTTATAAAACTGGCATAATATAGTTAACCACTTATACTGTAGGTAATATGAAGCTAACGCAACTCGCTACCAGCACGTATAAAAAAAATTGTATTCATCTTCTTTGTATGACCAAATACTTTTTAAGCATTCTGTAGTTGGGAATGTCAAATACACCGCTTCCTCGTCTTTCGTTATTCCGAAGCTCTAAATATTCGTTATCTCGTTAGTTGACGTTCATGTAAAACCAGAACTGTGATTATTTTTTTAACAGCAAAACAATTTTTCTTCGTAATAAAAATTAAAGGGATACATTTTAGAAGGTGCCGAGTTTCTTGAAATTACATGTTTATTAAATTTTACACATGAAATGGCATATTGCGGCATCCAGGATAATTCTAAGAGAACTGCAGAAAGTAGAAAAGCACCAAATCCCGCGCAATACATGTCATTCAACGATTACATTTACGCACTATATCAAATTTTCATACAATTTATTCAAATATGATGAATCTTACCGATTGTTTTCATTTTTCTCACGTTAATTACCTCGATACCTTTGACAAAGTATTCGTCTCGACGTTGCGCCACAAAAACAATACACTAACTTTGCAAAGTACGAAGCTCCTTAACGGATCCTTTATACAAGAATCTTGTTCCGTATCCAGAGGATTATCCACTCGTCGTTGGTCTTCGCACTGAGTAACACTTCTTTACGAGTACAGAAGACTTCGACAAGTCATTGAAATCTTTTGGGGGGAAACGATTTTAAGGGTATCCCGTACATTTCTGATTGTGGGAACATTGAAATGTGAGCCACTGAGACCAATCATTTTCTTATCTACCTGATATTCGACCATAATTGGAAAAGGGTTGTAATGCACACCTGTCAATCGATCAGGTCACGTATGATGAAAATTGTAAGTCTATGTAGGAGAAAAAGCAATTATTCTGTCAGTCATATGGTAAATTATATTGTTGCCTGCATCTTGGAACCACTGTCGATAGAGATTGTAGACTTGTGTGAAAGACATATCAATCATCTTGTCAGAGGTAATGCGATGGGGGCTGATGATTCTCCATCATACCTTGTCTCGAAACGGTGAGTTATTTGGGAAGTTTCGACTCGCATATGCGATGGCATATCGAAATGGGTCTCAGAGGCGACGTTTGGAGAATGTAGGTAGAGATATGCAAAGAGAATGCAACTATAAAAGAATTTTTCGACTTGCTTTTGCACGTAGAATCTATTCTGCAGAAAAATCCACATTTATGTTAACACTGTACAAAGAATGAGAGGTTTTCCAAATAAAAGTGCTCGAAAGATCGTACAATTGAACGATTTTATTCACGTATAAAATTAATCAACAGCATGTACACGTAGAGATCGATAACAAAACTATCCCATTCAGACAGGAATTTACAATTTTATTCGGATACAGATCGACTAGTCCATTTGACGCGGATCGAAAATATAATTCATCATTCTTGCATAGAGAGCATCATTGTGAAATACGACATGCACGTTTTAAAAGTCTTTAAGTAAAAACATTATTGTTTTTAATTGGTAATCATATATCGAAATAATTACTCACTGTTTCGTTATCTTCGTATTATTACGCACCATTCCAAACGTTTCCACGTTCATTTTATACAGTCCACCTGCAGTTAATTCGTACGGTTCGTTGGCTCTCATTTGGATTATGAGAAGTATTTTTTGTATTTTCAGTGGTGCATTATACCATTCGGAGTCGTACCTATCGTAGCAGCCGCACGTGATTACGTTAATTTTCGTTGTACCTTTATTTTTAAAGTGGTCAGTTTTATTTTCTGCCGACTGAATACTCACAGGGTTCGTGCTAAATATATACTTTGATCAGCAATTAGCTGTCCAGGTACGCTGATGTAGAACAGATGAAAGTTTTGTCCTATGCAGAACATACCGAATCTCATTACTTGATCGAGTTCGCTCAAGTGCGTGGCAGCCTAACGAACAAAACCTAGATTCATTTAGAACTACATGTAAACAATACTATCGCAGACAGCTATTCTTACTTGAAAAGCTGTGACGCTGATACCGATCATGTTCATCCCAACCTGAAGTAAGAAGTTCTGTCGGTTCATATTGTCCAGAAACGCTGCGAATCTTCAATCATAATAAAAACAATTAATCAGCCGAAATGCATAAATTATTGAAACTATTCTTTCCAAATTTATAATTAATTGCTACAAACTCGAGTGCTTTGTTGTGCGCAACGACGCATTGACGGACTTCTTCAAATCCAATGTCTTCCGAAGCTATTTCTCTTTTACCCATATTTTCTGTCAGTTTTCTAATCTTACACCTGGACATTTAATTTAATTACAAATGATGTAATTGTGCGAATTGAATACTATGTCTAGTAGAAAGCGAAACTCATCTCTGCTCCACAGGGTATTTCGTTTAAGTCGGAATGTTTAAATAACTTGTGAAGGGATAAAGGGTTTTTGAAAAATATTTTCACAAGAATTATTTGGCACAAAGATGGATGTTATGTAAAGTAAATTATTTCTTCGTAAGTGGTCCAACAGGAGTGGATTAAAAACAAATAGATTTTCGAAAATGGAACCTTACATGGTTTCATACATTAAGATAACATTTGTATAGACACATTATAATAAATTATTTATTATAAGAGAAACTCTAAATTAGGGTTTGTAATCAGTAGATTTAAGCTATGCTAATCTAGCACCCGGTACATCTACTTATGTGTATTTACCCGCAAGCTGCAAACAATCCTGCAGCATGATGAGCTATGGTCATGTAGAAAGAATCAACACCGACTATCGGTAGCAGACACACAGCTGCAGTTATTGTCGCGTGCCAATACTTGAAATAAAAATACTCATCGTCGCCCACAAAATAGTAAGCTTTAAATACTGTCTGCCGTGGTCGGGTTTCGTTCAGCGGCATAATGACATCCAATGCGGGATTCAACATTGGAAGCAATACGAATAGTGTCAAAAAGAATAATAGGTTCCCTGAAAATTATTCGATAAACATGGTGTCCCATGTAACTGGAACAGGCTGTACACCTTAAACGGTTCGAAGTAAAAAAAAATGTTACGAGTATAAATTACATGGTGTTGGATGGTGCAGACATGCAACTAATTCTATGCACTTTCGTGCATTGGTGTATTAAAAAAATGCAACTACACTTTTGTTAAAAATGGAAACCTATATTTTTGACAACACAGATCGATGATGTTTCTTGTGCTCTGCATAAGAGTCTTATTATTAACATACATATGCCCTAAGCTTGTTCGTTATCCACCATCCGACACTATTTAACTGTCACTTATAACATTTGTTTCTACTCCCAACCGTTTAGGATGTACATCCCGTTCCAGTTGCGTGGGACACTCTATATATGTATACCTCACAAATAACAACACGTTAACGATGCTTACTCCTGTATAATAGGGCAATTGTACTTCCTGTTTTGGTCATATCTTCCAGAACGTGTAAATCACCGCCAAGCTCCAATATCTCCCAGTCTTTTTTCACGGAGACGTATAATTTCTGTAGCTACAACAATATCAACTCCTATCACTCTAACGCGTTCGATAAATTTCTCACGCAATAAAGAGTATACGTACGTCTTTTCTGTTGAGTTGGAGGCTCATTAATTTTATAATACTAACAATAGATGTAACTAGATGTGGCATACACTCTATGACTCCGTTCCAATCCTTCTCACGTGACGATACGTGTATTTGGAAACACTACCAAATTCCGCGTTTCAACTGTTTAATAACATTCTTTGATTTCTGAACCGGATGTTTTACTTACCGTAGGCAATATGTAACTAACGAGAATCCCAACTATTAGCGTTGTGATAAACTTGTTCACCAAATTCGACTGAGT